CTCTGCATAAAAACATTTAAAAAAGTACTCAGATACATTGAAAAATCTTTAACATAGTAACACAATAATAATAATAATGTTTTGATGAGCTCACAAAGCAGTGTCCATTTGTTTTTACAAACCATTGTATGTACCTCAAATTTTTAATATTCTAGGCTTTATAGGGGTTGCTTTGTAACTATGGTTGTGTGTAAATTGACCATTTGTAATCTGTAGGTTGTCTGTAAACAGAAATTATAGAGCTGAAATTTCACTGTATAGACTTAATAGAATATTGGAAATAACAAGAAGAGTCAGTAAAATTGAAGACAGATCAATTGAATTTATGATGAAAAGGAAGAAAAGAGATAGAAGAAAAATGAATAGTGCCTCAGAGATACAGGGAATACTTTCAAGTATTCCAACAATTGGAATCACAGAAGGCAAAGAGAAAGAATATGGAAGACAATGAAAAACTTCAAAAGTAGCCTGAATATAACGACAGATTGAGGAAGAATGATAGAAATGACAGCTAACTTTCTGTGAGAAACTATGGAAGACAGAAGACAATGGGCATTATATATTTAAAAGGGCACTATATATCTGGTAGCGTAGTGCCTAAGGCACTTGACTGCTAATCAGAAGACTGGTGGTTCAAACCCACCAGCCACTCCTTGGAAGGAAGATGGGCCAATCTACTTCCGTAGTGATTCTGCCTCGGAAACCCAAGGAGGAGTTGCTTTGAGTCGGGTCCAGCTTGATGGCACACAACAACAACAACAACAAATAATTAAAAGTGAAGTCTATTTTATTCTGATGACATATTTAAAGTAAATCTCTCTATCAAGAATTTTATATTCAGTGAAACTGAAGGTTAAAGACATTTTTAGTCCAACAAAGAGAGAATTTGTCCCAAGCAGAAATGCATTGTAAAAAATATTAAATGAAGTCCTTCAGGCTGAAAGGAAATGCCACCAGATGGTAACTCAGATTTATGAGAAGGAATAAAGAGCACAAGAAACAGTAAATATTTGGAAAAATATAAAAATCTGTCTTTAAATGATAAATTATAAAACTATTGCTAGGCTTATATAATATAAATGAAATAGATATGAAAATGGGGGCATAAAGGGTACTATGATATTGAAATATACCCATATTTTACATGAAGTACTGCAATAGTAACTAAGTATAGTGTGATAAGTTGCATATTTTAAGCCCTATAGCAACACACATATATATGTGTGTGTGTGTATACGTACACACACACACACACACACACACACATATATATTTGTTGTTGTTGTTGTTATGTGCTGTGGCATCAGATCCGACTCATAGAGACCCCACCTTGGGTTTCCAAGGCAGTATCATTACAGAAGTAGATTGCCCAACTTTCCTTCTGAGAAGTGGCTGGTGGGTTTGAACCACCAGCCTTCTGGTTAGCAGTCAAGTGCCTTAAGCACTATGCTACCAGAGCTCCCATATATATATAACTTAGATAATAATATGTATATATTAGATCAATTTAAATGGAATCCTAAAAAGTGTTCAATTAACCCAAAAGACAGAAAGGAAAATACCTAACAAAGAAAAGATGTAAAACTTGTAGACTAAAATCCAACCATATCAATAATTATACTAACTGTAAATGGACTAAAAATTCAAATTAAAAGGAAGAGAATGTTAGATTTGAAAGGTAGACCCAGTTATATGATGTCTATAAGAGACATAGTTTATATCCAAAGACACAAACATGTTGACATTTAATGAAGTATGAAGATATAGCATATATACCACCAGAAAGAATTAGAAACCTGACGTAGCTACATTACCATCAGAAAAAAATAGACCTCAGAAAAAAATAGACCTCAAGAAAAAATGTTACTAGGAAAAAGAAGGCCACTGCCTAATGATAAAAGAGTCAATTCATCAGAAAGGTTAACAATTATACATTTCTATTTACCTAATAATAGAACCTCAAAGTACATGAAGTAAAAACTGATAAAATTAAAACGGAAATAGATAAATTCACAATCATAATTGAAGATGTTAATAACTCTCTCTCAGCAATTCCCAGAACAGGTATCCTCTCCCTCAACCCCCCAAAAAAAACCATCCTTTTGGTCCTTTTTTTCTGGAGAATCCTGATACATATTTTGATACTGAGAGTGGTCCTAGAGGACCAGAATCTTAAGGATGGGTTTCCTGAATTGGTTTTGAGGTTCCTGAAATTGGTTCTTTAATCTGATTAGATTTAAAGACAACAATAACTCTGTTTTCAGTGGCAAAGAGAGGACACAGATAGTCCATGGCAAATGTGGCAATAGAGACATGCAATATCCCATTGGCTCTTCCCAATCAAATACTTACAAAAGGCAAGAATCTGGATGACCATATATATGTGATATTTAGAAATTTTTGTTAAACTAATGAGTATAATAAGATTGGTTGGTTGCTCCCAACTGTGCTGAGAACATGGGGAAAAGATAAGGATGAGCTGAGTGGCAGAGGAGACTTAAATATACGTGAAACAAGTATCTTAGTCTATAAGCATTCAGCACGTCATTACCCTTCAGTGGAACTGTCCTGACTAAAATTTTTATGATTTAGAGGTCTTAGGAGGTCTTTCTCATTTCAAAGAGTAACTGATTTCTTTTCAAGCTATTACATGAAACCATGGTGTATTTAACCAAATTTAATTCCTTATTTTAAATCCCAGGAGCAAAAAATCCTCCTTGAAAGAAATCTTTGTTGAGATGGCATAAAAGCAGAGGCCTGGCCTGTAGTAATACTGATGATCATAATTTGTGTTATTATACACAATCCAACTAGTCAAAAGTCATCTTTGGGTAAAATTTGAGTTTTTCATTAGAGTAAAACATTTCTGACATTTCACAAAGCTTAAGTGCAAACAAAAATGATTAATCACATTCACAAATATGCAAACATATTCAAACCATATTACAAATGATATTACATTTGAGACAAAATGACAAAAATTTTAAAGGCGAAGAATGATTTTATGTAGGAAGTTTGTTTATTCAGTAACATAATAACAAAATAGGAATATTACATTGACAGATTAGGGGAATTAAAGAGCATAAAATATTACTTTAAAACAAAACAATGGGATCATATACAAGAGCCTCAGAAAAGGCCCTTAATTTACAATGCCTCTCTTTACTGACAAATAAGATTAATATATGGCTTTTCTGTGACAAAAAAATAATCATGGTACCTGAACATTACATACATTCAATTGTATATGACGAACACTATTATAAACTAATCATTTAATAACTAATCATTAATAATCCTAATCATTTAAACAACTATTTTCAGCTCACTTAATGCCTTGTCTAAATAGCTTTAAGAGAAATAAAGAGCAAACAATTATATATACTTAAGGATGAAAGTTTTTGATACTCAATTCCCATATATATGTTAACCTGTTAAATTAGAACACGACTGTTTAATAAGGAGCTCTGGTAGCATAGTGCCTAAGGCACTTGACTGCTAACCAGAAGGCTGGTGGTTCAAACCCACCAGCTGCTCCTCAGAAGGAAGGTTGGGCAATCTACTTCCATAGTGATACTGCCTCAGAAACCCAAGAAGGGGTCTTTATGAGTCGGGTCCGACTAGAGGGCACATAACAACAACAACTGTTTAATATGTAAAACTAACTTGAAATCATGATTCTTGAACAAATGTAAACTCTGACACCTCTCCTGAGACTTCAGTGAGAGCTTCCACTTCAAACATAGCTTTAAAAGGTAGCCTGGGAGTGAATCACGATACATTCAGAAACATGGCCAAAACAGTTTGAGTTCAAAGACTGAATTCAGAATATGAAGCAACTATTTTCTGTACTATATTAATAAATTGGTTCTTTGTTCAAAATCTTAAACATAAGTGATATATAACAGTGTACACACATGAGACCCAATAAAATTGGCACTTGAGGGAAATTATCGCTTTACTTAAAGGGAAAATACCACGGCTAGATCTCTGACTGGGGCTAAAATTGTAGTCTTAGGTATTTGATTCCCTAGCCATTGGTGACACTTTGGAATGTTTTATGTTTTCCAGATATATCAGAAAAACTCTAAAATTTGAAAGAATACTTAAAACTCCCACTTGGGTGGTTAAATATATTAATGTTAATATTATATAAATAGAGCAAATCTGATTCATTTATTGGACAAGTACTACATTCTGAAAATCATCCAATTCAAATTAAATTGAACTCTGTGGCAAACAATTCATTATTCTCATTAGGCAATAGTTACATTCAGTGAGGCAGTTCCCACTTAGCCTCTGGCCGTAGCAGCTATCTTTAAAAAAAGGTCTAAACCTCTTCTCTAATCCTCAGTCATGTAAAAGAATCTGATTTCCTTGGCTGGTGGTTAAAGAAATCTGCAATATAGATGCATGCTAAAGAGAATATAAGCTCTTAAGAAGTGTCATCTAATTAATGACCACCCCCTTCCAACTCACTCATATTCCGTGATCTCAGACACTGCAGTGGAAACTGAAAATATCAATCTATGAAGTTAAAGATACAAAACTCTGCTACACTCCTCAGACATTTCATTCTTATCTCCAGAATGGGAATGGATTAGATATAAGAGAATATTACTTTTTTTCTTCAGAAGAAAGTAGATTGAAAGTGCTTATACTTTTAAAATTCTTTACAGTGTTGATTAATTCTCACCAGTTAATAAGGAAGACCATTACATTCACCTGGATATGCATATTAAATGAGAAAATCCATAAAAATATGGTATTTGCTACACATAAACCAATCTGTAAAGTACAATATAACACAAAATAAAATGAATATGAAATACATATATGAATAAAAGCAACTTTAATAAGAAAATTGATCAGTTTTGCTAAAAAAGTTTTCCATCGTAAGCATCATCATTATCAACAAGCACATTCAAAATACGACCAATAAATGTGTTTATAATTTCAAGTGAAAGCCATTGAGTTTTCCTCACTGGGAATACTTGCTTTCAGTCATCTTTTTTGTCTGAGGCACTTACTTCATGAATTTCAGGACTTACTTTATTACTTGCGATGGAGGGAATTGCCTGGACTTCTTCTGGTAACGAAAAAACATGGCATGTCTGCAGGTCTAAGTATGTTGTAAATATTTTAGCATATTCTGGATGCTTTAGGGCAAAACTTTTAAATTCCTCTAGAAAAGAAGGAAAAAACAAAATCCAATAAATTCAGGGAATCATCTTTTGGCACGATGCAGATTAACATATGGCCTTAATAATACAATTACAATGTGTATGCTTAATGTCCAAGATACATTCTGTGAAATAGGTTATTATATGATTTGGATACTGTATGAACACCATACTATTTACAGGTAGTCCTCAGATTATGAATGAGTTTCATTCCTAATCTGCCTTTAACTAGGATTTGTATGTAAATTGAAACAGTTAGGTATAATCCATACCTAACATCAGAAGGTCAAATATTTGTCTTAGTATATAATATACCCATTTTGGTCTTCTTCTGCCGCTATAACAGAAAATACCACAAATGTATGGTTTTAAATTTATTCTCTTACAGTTTAGGGGGCTAGAAGCCTGAGTTCAAAGTGTCAGCTCGAGGGGCTGGTACAGGCCCCTCGACCTTGGGCTTCAGCTCTGCCTCTTGCTCCTGGCCCATTGGTGCTGAGGCCGACAAATGCAAGGTCAGTAAGTAAAACGGCACAGTCCCAAACTTATCAATATGGCAGGCCACTAGTTCAAGTCTAGAAATAGTCCCAAGATCGGCAGGCAACACAGCAGGTTGCTGAATGAAGACAGCTACATTCAGGGTCCAAGTGGGCCAAAAAGCTCACGCCCTTTCTCCAAGTGTCTTCTTAGGTGCTAGAAGCAGACCACATCCCTAAGGCAGCCACTCAGCTGCTTATAGCAGATTCCACCATGGAATTGATTACCAGTCTCATTATGGGGGTACTACATCCAGCCCAGCCACTCAAAACCAGGTCCAGCCAAGATGGCAATAACCTTAACTACCATAGTATCTTTCTGTGCATAAAAAAAAACATTAAATGCTTCCAGATACACTAAAGCATCTTTAACATAGTAATACAGTAATAATAATGACAATGTTTTGATGTACGTTGCAAAGCAGTGCCCATTTATTGTTATGAACAATTGTATGTACCTCAAATTTTTAATATAACAGACTTTACAGAGGTTGGGACCATGGATGTATATGTGGTCAAAAGTTGCCCAAATGGACGTGATGCAGCACATGACTGTATTACAAAATTCTTACTCAATTCACAATCGCTGCTGGTGAGAATATAAATCACACAATTACTTTGGAAGATAGCTTTTCCATTATTTAGTTAAGTTGATGGTATGCATACTCGATGACTCATTCATTTTAGTCCTAGAGAAATGTATGCTCCAGAGACACATATGAGACACTTAACTGTCTTGTACTAGTCTATTGAGTATTCATAGAGCATTATTCATAATAGGCAAAAAATGGAAGCAGTCTCTGTCAACAGTAGGACTGGATAAATAAACTGTGGCATATTAGTGTAATATAATGCTATACAAAGATGGAAAGGAATGAACAGTCAATGTTGCAACACCACGGATGAATCTCAAAGCCATAAGGCTCAGTGAAGAAAGCCAGATAGAAAAGAACAAATTCTGTATGATCCCATCTCTAAAAAGTTCCAAAACTGAACTACAATATTTAAGGAAGCATCTTTTTGTGTAAAACTACAGCAAAGCAAAGATAGGGACTCCTTTTCAAGTCAGGACAGTGCCCCCTCCCTGAGGAGAGAGGAAGGGGTTGCGGTTGGGAAGGGATGCAAAGGGTTTCTGGGGCTATGGAAAAGCTCTATTTCTTGACTTGAGTGGTAGCTACACAGGTGTTCACTTTACAAAACTTCATTATGTTCTATATTTACCTCTTATTCAATATTCCATATTTTTGTCATTTTCATAGAAAGTTCTAAAAATTCTATTACCAAGGACAGTAAAAAAATTCTATCTGGATTGTTCAATTATTTTAACTTTATCTTTGGTATATACAAAGTCATGATAAGCTGAGCTCTGACTTATGGTCAATAGTATACGATTACAGAATATACAAAATGGAATAATTAACCACAAGACCTCTGAATAGAGGGCTTCTTTTTCTCTTGAGTGTTCTACAGTTAAGAACAGAGTAGAAACATAGAAGCCTTACTTAGTTAACCAACAGCATTTGAACCAATCACCTGGCGTTTCTAAAACATGATGCGCTCAATTTTGAAATTTCTCTGCTTTCTTTTGATTGGGTGGAGAAAACTTTATTACTGAGTTTGCAAGGAAAAGGAGTCTTGACTTGAAATCAGCTTGCTATTGGCTCCATAATAAAAGGATTTTAGTCCAATATCCTTTTTCTAATTATTTATTATTTTTTCTTAAAATCCTCTGACAACCAAGAGTGTATTTCACTCTTGTGGTATGGTAGACTAACAATTACTGAAGATAAAAACTAGGTCTTAGTGATCAGAGGTCCCTGGGCAGCGCAAATAGTTAAACACTCAACAGCTAACAGAAAGGTCAGCTAACGGAAAAGTCGGTAGTTTGAACCCACCCAGAGGGGTCTTGGAACAAAGGCCTGTTGGTCTGCTTCTGAAAGGCCACAGCCTTGAAAACCCTATGGCCTCGTTGTTGTTGTTGTTATGTGCCATCGAGTCCCCGACTCATAGTGAGCCCTCCTTGGGTTTCTAAGGCGCTATCACTACAGAAGTAGGATTGCCCAACTTTCCTTCCAAGGAGTGGCTGATTGGTTTGAACCGCCAGCCTTCTGGTTAGCAGTCAAATGCCTTAGGCACTATACTACCAGAGCTCCTACCAAACTCACTGCTGTCAAGTCAGATCCAACTCATAGCGACCCCTCCTTGGGTTTCTGAGGTGGTATCACTGCAGAAGTAGATTGCCTAACCTTCCTTCTGAGGAGTGGCTCGTGGATTTGAACCTCTAGCCTTCTGGTTAGCAGTCAAGTGCCTTAGGCACTACGCTACCAGAGCTCCTCTGGCCCTAGGGAGTACAATTCCACTCTGCACACATGGAGTCGCCATGAGTTAGAATCAGTTTGACATTTGGTATGCTTTTTTAAAAAAAAAAAAGAAAAATTATGAGGAAGTCACTATATTCAGCCCAAATCATTCTTTGCAACTGCAACATTATTTTGCATTAATAGGCTACCACATATTTCTTAACTGAACAAGCTGTTAATTGTTTCTTCTTAGCATCCAAATTAAGGTCATTTTCATGAGTCTGTTTCACTGATGGAGACACCAAGGACTTAAGTGACTTCTAAGATATGTCACCATGAGAACTGACCTACTGAAACCAAGAATTTTAATTTCAGGGCTTGTGCTTGTTCAAAAGATCAAAGGCCCTGCCATCTGCTGAGATATCAATGACATTAAAGAGTAACTCATTTCTAGAAGTTTCCAGTGAACTGGCTATAAGTGAAATTTGGGCATTAACTTGGGTAATGTAAAGCCAAGAGCAAAAACAATTTAAAATATCACATTTAAACAACTTACATGGCTATATTTAAGGCACATATCAAGACCTAGGATTTTATAAAATCCATACTTAAGTACCTCAAACATTCCTGCCCCCAAAATGGACTTACATAATATTAGGGGAAGGTTAGGGGAAGGGAGTTGTTCTGTGTGTTCTGAAAAGAAAAAGGCTAAATTAAAAAAATAAATAAATAAAAGATTTTCTTAAAAAATTTTTATTAATGAACAGGTAAAATTATGACAACCTACAAATCATCTGCAGTCTTGGCTTCCATTGAAACAGTTCTTAAAACTATTTTTTCACAATTTGGAAGCTCAGAGTAATAGAATGTCTCACTAATGAGAGGAGAATGGCCAGGGAAAGAACTAGTGTTCATGGGGTTTATGACCCTGTTCTGATTCCCTAGTGCCACTGTGACAAGAAATATACCACAAACGGGATGGCCTTAACAAACAGGAGTTTATTCTTACAATTTGGAGGCTTTAAGTCAAAGTTCAAAGTGCCAGGCTCTAGGGGCTGGGTGAAAGCCCCTCAACCTTGGGGTCCAGCTCTGCTTCCTGTCCTGGCCCGCTGGAGCTAGAGGCATTTCTTCACTCAGACAGCTGCTGGTTGCTGAGGCTGAGAAGCCACAAGGTTGACAAGTAAAAAGGCACAGTCCCAATGTTACCAATCCACATGGCAGGCCATTAACTTAAGTCCATTGTAAGTCCCCAGGTCGGCAGAGCATAGCAGGCTGCTGAGCAATGATATGGCTACATGCAGGGTCCAAGCGTGCCATAGGCTACAGACCATTCCCCAAGGGTTCTGCTTATATACAGGAAGCAGACCACATTCCCTAAGGCAGCTCCTCAGCTGCTCACAGTAGATTCTGCTGTGGAGTTGATTACCAGTCTCATCATGGGGAATACTACATCCAGCTGCCCAGCCACTCAACCAGGCCCAGCCAAGTTGACACAAAAACATAACCACCACAGATGCATAAGTTTTGTCTCAGTATGTACTTTCTCATTTCATCATTTCTTATTTTTTAAAAAATGAACTCAAAAGAGTAAATGCCCTAGGCAACTAATTACCAAAAACAGACTAATAAAGGGCAGCCAAAATGACAATAATTAAAAACAGAACAAAGGAAGTAAGTGATCTAATGTAAGTAAGTAATCCCATGAAAGTTAACAAGTTGAAACTGTAAACTTGGGGAGGGGGCATTCCAGAGAAATTCCCCTCCAACCTGAGGGAAAAGACAGGGAATATTAGGCCAACCTCACATCAGGGCCCACATTAAAGATGAAGAAGGGAAGCTTCAGTTGGCTCCTCCATTGAGATGTGCTCCTCCATAAATGAGTGCACTGTGATATGTAGAAACTAATGCTCCAGCCACTGGACTGCTTTGATGTGTGCATGCAAGCCCCAGGAGAAAGGTCAGTCACTGACGGACAGACCTGCCACTTGGCCAAAAAGTTTTCCTGCAGAACAGTGCTTACCTGACAGGGGTTGCTACAAAGATGATATGAAATAATGAATATAAAATCTTATGCACATGAACACTCAATAAAAGTTGTAGCTACTATTATTATTGTTGGCGATCTGTCTACATCGCTCTGCTGTGATTACAATCCAGCTCAGTTATT